GTAACGGGCGTGGGCATATTGCCAAATTTTGTAAAAAGAAAGATAATTCAAGTAATACCACGAAGTGCAACATTTGCAAGAAAAATAATCATATAGATAAAGATTGTTATTTTCGAAAAAAAGATAAGACAGACGATCAAGCGATAACAACAGAAACAAAAGATAAAGTATCTTTTTTGGCGTGTGCAAGTAAAACTACAGAATGGATTTTGGATTCTGGTTCATCGTCTCATATGTGTAATGATAAAAATTTGTTTAAAAGCTTACAAAAAGTAAAGTCAGAGATTGGAACGGCGAAGAAGAGTCAAGTTCTAGAAGCAAGAGGAATTGGTGTTGTGGAAACTAATAAAGTTGTTCTTAAAAATGTTCTTTATGTTGCAGACCTGTCAAAGAATTTATTATCAGTTAATGCTTTAACAGAAAATGGTGGAAGAGTATTCTTTACAAAAGAGAAAGCTGAAATCTGGAAAGACAATACTAAATTCATTGGTTATCGAAATAGAGATGGTTTGTGGACGATAAGTTTTGGACAAGATACTATGAATTGTGCTCTGCTAACTCAAGAGGTTAAGACTGCATTTAATTGGCATCAAAAACTTGGACATCTTGGGAAAGAGAATATGAAGAAATTACAATCTATGTCTGAAGGTATGATTCTTACAGCTAATGGTTTAAAAATTCTTGACAACGTGTGCGAAACTTGCCTTAAGGCGAAGCAAACAAGATTACCTTTTAGTGAAGATAGAATAAGAGCTAAAAGACCGCTCGAGATTATTCATACTGATGTATGTGGACCAATTGATCCTATAACTTGGGATAAAAGGAAATATATGTTAACGTTTATAGACGATTACACACACTTTGTTATGGTCTATTTATTAGAAGGAAAATATGAAGTACCGGAGAAAGTAAAAGAATATGCGAATTTTGTAGAAAGAAAATGGAACTTGAAAATTTCTAAACTTAGATGTGACAATGGGAGAGAATATATTAATAATGATCTCGTAAACTGGTGTAAACAAAGAGGAATTCTTTTAGACACAACCACACCTTATACACCACAACTGAATGGCAAAGCGGAACGGATGAACAGGACGCTAATAGAGAAAACAAGAGCTCTACTTACGGATGCAGCAGTAGACAAAAATTTATGGGGAGAGGCGGTACGCACAGCTGCATACTTAACAAACAGAAGTCCTACTAGTGCAGTTCAAGGAACTCCTTATGAAAAATGGACATCTAAAAAACCAGATTTATCTAGATTACGTGTTTTTGGTTGTGAGGCTTATGTTAAAATACTAACACCTCAGAAGAAGCTAGACGATAGATGCAAAAAGTTTCTTTTTGTTGGTTATGCACCAAATGGATATCGACTATTTGATACTGAAAAAAGGAAAATAATAATTTCAAGAGACGTAATTATGACTGAAAGAATAAAACAAGAAAATATAGTAGTTAAAATTAAGACAATTATAGAAGAGGAACAGTGCAAAGAAAAAGAAGTTTTTGAAATGGAAGAAATTAGAAGACATGCAGAAAGTGTTTCCGGAAGCGAAGAGGATTACAATCATTTTCAGGACGCTCTGGATGAGTCACTCAGCAAAGAGGAAGAGGAGAAGACGCAAGAGGAAGCGGAACAAGAAGAGGAATGTGGAAGAGGAAAACGTGTTAAGAAAATTCCAAGTAAATATAAAGATTATGTTTTTCTAACCTATGAAGAGGCAATAACAGGGACAGATAAAGAAAAATGGTTAAAAGCAATAGAAGAAGAAAAGAAATCATTGGAGGAAAATAAAACATGGAGTTTTGTGGATAAAACTGAGGCAAAAACTAAAAAGATACTTTCTAATAAGTGGGTTTTCAAAGTAAAAGATGATGGAAGATTTAAAGCGCGTTTGGTGGTTCGAGGATGTGAACAACGTTTCGGTGAAGATTTTGATGAAACATTTAGTCCTGTGGTGGGCACAAGTTCTCTGAGAGCGCTTTTTGCAATTGCAACAAGAAGAAAGGATTTTCTGATAAAGTTCGACATTAAGACAGCTTTTCTCTATGGAAATTTGAGCGAAGAAATTTTTATGGAACTACCAAAAGGATACAACCAGGTTGATAAAATTTGTAGACTTAATAAGGCGCTGTATGGGCTAAAGCAAGCTCCTTTGGAATGGAATCAGCGCTTTACAATTTTTCTACGCAGCAGAGGTTTAAGATCGACCAAGACAGAACCCTGTATTTTCAAGACAGAAGACAACACGCTAATTTTGGCTATTTATGTGGATGATGGACTAGTAATAGGTTCTAATAAGCAAGTAATAGACAGTTTGTTATGCGATCTAAGTAAGGAATTTCATATGACTATTTGTAAAAATGTAAAGTCGTTCTTGGGAATAGATATACAATATGAAGATGGTTCGCTAAAATTAAAACAATTAGATTATGCAACAAATCTAGTGAAAAAGTTTAATATGGAAAACTCAAAACCGGTAAAAACACCAATGATGACAAATGATCAAAGTAGTAAAGTAGCAATTAATTCATTTCCTTATCGTGAATGTGTTGGTAGTATTTTGTATTTAGCTAATAAAACGAGACCAGATTTGGCCTTTTCTGTAGGTTACGCTAGCAGACATCTAAACGAACCAACTCAACAAGATATTAAGAATGTTAAAAGAATTTTAAGATACATAAATGCAACAAAGAATTTAGGAATACATTATAATGAACAAAACGATTTAGATGAGGAAGTCTTGATAGGCTATTCTGATTCGGATTATGCGGGTGATGTTGAAACTCGAAAAAGTACGACGGGTTATGTAATAATATACTCAGGAGGTCCCATAAGCTGGTGTTCTAAAAGACAGTCCTTAATTACCCTGTCGAGTACAGAGGCAGAATACGTTGCCGCAACTGAATGTTGTAAAGAAATTTTACATTTAAAATTTTTAATTGAAGAGCTAACTGGTAAATCTATTAAAGCCACATTAAACATAGACAATCAAAGTACAATATATTTGATAAAAAATGGAATTTCTAACAAAAGAAGTAAACATATTGATGTGAGATATAGATTTATAAACGAATTAGTTAAGACAGGATCGTTGAGTATAAAATATTGTCCAACAGACTTGCAATTAGCCGATATTTTCACAAAAGCGTTGGGACAAAACAAATTCGAAATACACAAAAATAAATTAGTTGAAAATTAATTTATTTAATAAAACTTAATGAATCAAACTCTAAATAAGTTTAATAATTACGGGAAGGTGTTGGAATAATTATTAACTCGAGTTTGATCGAACCGAATTATACTAAGTGCAGTAAAGTGCAAGTATGCAATTGGTAGCACTGTATTCGTTACAAAAGAAAAGCGTTGCTATAGATATTTTATGTTAGCTCTCTTGTCGTTTGTCTTCTTCTTGCGTAGTTTGGTTTTGGTGTTCGTTCCACCATGTTTGTTAACTAACGTTCTCTGTATTCTTTCGTTTAATAAACTGTTTAATTAAAACCAAACGTCTATCTCAGACTTCATTCAAGAAAATATCAACAGAAATACATTATAATCAAGTTTCTTGTAACAGTAAAAAGATTAGAGGAAAACTTCGAAGAAACTGATCTCTCATCTCAAGAGTGTAATACAGAATGGGACGAACAATTTATAATGGCAGTTTTAGATAGACCACCATTATATGATCATCGTTTAAATGTTAAAGAAAGATCAAAAGTGAAAAAAGCTACATTATGGGAAGAAGTAAAAAATACAATTAATAATATGTGTAACTTCTATAATCTATGTTGAATATATTAAATTAAGACTTTAATACCTAATTATTATTAAAATTGAAGATATTTGTTTTTAAATTATGTGATAAAATTTAAAATTATATATTTATTAAACAGGTAATATGAACATAAAAGAGTTACAAAAGAAATGGAAATATCATCGTGATTGTTACGTTAGAGCGAGAAAAAAAGTAAAACAGTATGTGCCAAGTGGATCTGCTGCAACTTCAACAAATCTAAAATCTAGTTATCGATTTTTCGAACTAATGAGACTCTTAGATGACACATTGCAGATTACATCGTATGTATTGCGCAAAACCATTTAAATTTCCCTATAATATGTATAGAAAAATATAAAAGGAATAATAAAATAATTTACAATAGAACAATAAGCACATTGTCAAAGACGGTTGAAAAACCATTGGACATAGAGGAAAAGGAAAGTGCCGCTTCAGGATATACACAACAAAATATATCTTCTGCTTTATTTGATGCAGAGTTGTCAGATGTTTGTTCAGATGAGCCAGATGTATGTTCTCAAACATCAACAGTGCCAAGTTCTGAATACTTATCCGCTTCAACAGTTAATTCATCCAAAAAAAGTATAAATGTATAATTAAATATATGAATTATATGTTATATTGTACTATTTTTTCTAATATTATGAATTTTCTACTTACAGGACGAAAAGAGTACAATGTATCACAAGAGTTACAAACAGCTTTATTAGATGTTTTAAAAATGCCTATTCCAGACATTGATGCTATAGATGGTTTTTTGAAAACTTTAGGAGAAGCTTTACGTCGATTGCCATATCAAAAAAGAGTTATGTTACAAATTAAATTTCTGCAAATGACTACAGCAGCAGAGTTTCAGGACTGTGATGACAATTATTAAATTATTAACCAAAGATATTTTGTTAAACCAAAAAGTGTGATTAGAAAATTATTATTTTGTTTAGTTTTTTTAAAAAAAATTATTTTGTTTTACCAAAGAAAGTTACTATATATATAAGTTGTTATAAAAATATAAAATAAAAAATACTTATTATTTTTGTAATTACTTTTATTGGTAAATATATAATACATTAGTCATAGTTGTGAAATACATACATTTATTGTAAAATACATTACATATAAATAGCAATTATTAAATTAAAGAAGTTAAATATTATATTTTTACAAAAAAAAACTATGAGCAACATAGAATAATGAAACAAAAATATTGGGTTTATTTCATTCTTTTTACTAAAAAGTAGAAAATTAGAGTAAATGAGACATTATCAAAAGAATTTCTATAATGATGAAACATTCAGTTATTCGTCAATTATTTTAAAAGTCAATTAAGCAAGAAAGTATAACACACATTTATATATTTATAAAAAACAAAACAATTTAAAATTCATTGCGGAGTGCCTTTTCCCACTGCCATATAACTGCACCATCTCCTTGAAAATATTCAGCAAACATATTTCTTATAATTTCTGCAGATTTGCGATAAGAATATTTTTCATGTACAAAATCTTGAAAACCTTCACATGCAACTTCAAGATCGGCTGATGTTATAGAAGAATAATGTCGATTTTTACCTTCATGATTAATTATAAAGTTATGTAAACAACATGTTGCTTGTACAATTTTTCTACTTAAATTCATAGATGCAATAATCGGTTTTCTATACACTCGCCATCTTGCAGTCAATATTCCAAAAGAACTTTCTATGAGACGTCTTGCTCGACTCAATCTATAATTAAAGATTTTTTTTTTTGGTTCAGTTTTTCATTTCGAGTATATGGTCGCATCATATAGCTTCTCAAAGCAAAAGCGTCATCAACTACAATTACATATGGTAATATAGGACCTCTGACACCAACACTTTCTGGTAACGGAATTTGTAGAGCATTGTTTTCCAAAGCAGCATACAACTTGCTATTTTGGAATACTCCGCCATCACTTTGTCGTCCAGCTGCTCCAATGTCGACATAAGTAAATCGATAATGTGCATCACAAAGTGCAAGCAAATTCAAGCTGTGTCGACCTTTATAAGTGTAATAAATAGATCCACTGTTGAGCGGAGCCTATATGAAGTATAAGACAATCAATCATTTTCTTGACACAATTAAAAAACAATTATGGTTTTAAAGATTGACATACCTGAATTATGACATGTTTTCCATCTAAAGCGCCTATGCAGTGTGGAAAATTCCAATTTTTTTCATATTCACTTGATATATGTTTCCATACATTATTGTTAAATTTTGGAAAAACTTTAGGTTTCAACACGTTTTAAATTGCTTCACAAGTTTCTAACACTATTTTTGAAACGGTACTACATCCTACGCGAAATGCGTAGGAAAGAGATTTCATGCTATCTCCACTAGCTAAATAACGAAGACATATTTCTAAACGTGTATTTGGCGATATTGGGTCTCGAACACAATTCTGTTTTTTTATATGTGGTCCCACAGCATTCAATAACTTCTCATATATTTCTACTGTCATGCGAAAATAATTGATGAATTTTTCATCATTATGAAAATATAATTCTTTTATTAATGTCTCACTTGCTCCGTACAATTTTCTATTTTTAGTAGAAAAAATGGGATAAACCCAATATCTCCGTTTCATTACTTGATTTTCTCCATATAACAAAACAAGTGCAATTAACTTTTTTAATTTAATAATTGATATTCTTTTACCACTTTTACAATTAGATATTCTATTTTTATATATAGAAATAAGAGAATATAAAAACACTTCGAAATTCATTTTTAGGCTAGCGTATATAATACAATAGCGTATAAGCGTACATAATACATATATATACATACATGTGTGCATTTACGCGCAATTTATTTTCTTTAATTCACATGGATGAAAAATTTGCGTAACAGATGCACGCGTATCCAATGAAATGCAATGTTTAGTATTTCTGTTCAACGTTCTTACAGAATAGAACGATATTATTGGTTATACGCGATACGCTGCTGCTATTTTACGTTCCATGTGCACTAAGAACATTCAATTTCGCGTACTATAAAACACGTAATCTCTCTGATTGGTTACGCGTTACGCGTTACGCAAAAAATAACAGTGCATGGGATCGCACCCTCACTGCAAATGTTTCGAAGTATCATTCTATCTTTATTCTACATTTAACAAAAAATAAAGATAGAACGATGCTTCGAAACATTTGCAGTGAAATTTTGACCGCACCCAAAGTTAAATTATTTCAACTTTTAGGCCTGTTCTACAATACAGTCGTAAGCTGTAAGTCGTACGAAATTGACCAATCACAATCGAGTATTCTTCTGTGCTTTGTCTGTGATTGGTCAATTTCTTACTGTTGTGTTTATTAATAAGAATATTCAATGTCCTCTTGTATCGAAAACTTTATTTAAACATTTAACAACGTGACACAATACAATAACGGCAGAGACACACACAAAAAGAGTTTACACACGGCGGCGGTCAATACGGACTAAGAGAAAGCAGAAATCTGAGAGATGTTCTATTGTTTTTAACGTATTTCATTTTTAATATAAATAAATATTCACATGGTTACCAGATAGATGAATAGCGTTAGATAATGTTATTTATCTCTCATTTTTCTTCTCTCACTTTTCTTTTTCAGGTGCTTACTTTAAACAGGAATACTAACTACACTATGTGTACTTAATGTACTAAGTGCACATGTGCTTATAAACATAAAGCAGATAAACCTCACTTAATGGGCCTTCTACAATAAGATATAAGTAATAAATCAGAAGTCAGAAGCAAGTTATAGCGAGTCAGTAGTGCGTCATAAGACAATAATTAAGTTATAAGTCAGTGACTGAGTAGAGATGGCCAAATTCCATCTCTTCTGACTTAGAACTTAAATTACGTTATGACTGACCAATCAAAAGCCAAGACCAATATTATGTGTCTGCCATTTTTAACGAGCTCGTATAACCTATAAAATCTGTCGTAATAAACTGTGTTAGTTAAAGTGTTGAAAATCTTGGAATCATGGAATCTTCATATTTTGAATAAACAGACGACTTGGAGCTCATCAAGCTTGTTGAGCTTAATAGTTCCTTATTTAATAAAAGAATGCGAGAGTTCAAGACTGTAGATAAAAAAGAAGTATGGGCTCAAATAGGTGCCGCTCTAACCAACAGAAAAACGGGTATGTACAAGTATTTAAAAATATTGATTTAAAATATCAATTTAAATATCATTATCAGTTTTTTTTTTTGCTTTTATATTAGGTAATCAAGCTCAAAAAAGATGGGATAGTCTAAGGGCTATGTGGTCACGTCAACATAAACAATATTATGAGCAAGAACGATCAGGATCGGGTGCAAGCCGAGACACTCAAGAATTTCAGTATTATGGTGAAATGTCATTCCTTGTCCCACATTATAGTTCACGGTAGTTCGTATACTGTTATTTTAGAGTTTTTAAAGCTGTCAGTGTGTGTGTGCGTGTGTGTGTGTGTGCGTGTGCGTGCGTGCGTGCGTGCGTGCGTGTGTGTGTGTGTGTGTGTGTGTGTGTGTGTGTGCGCGTGTGCGTGTGTGTGCGCGCGCGCGCGCGCATACATACAAACATACGTATACACGGCTCTAAAAATATACATGTGTATGCATGTATGTATATATATGTATCTAAAAATTCAATGTTTTGTTGACAGAACCAAATCAAACATGAAGCGGTCTACATCATGTATGTTTAATAATGGATCAAGTGGATCCCAGTTTGTTATCAACAAACCGTCACCTATAGTTACGGACAATCCATGTATAGTTATTCAAGACACTGCAGACTTTGATACTGCACAATCTGATGATACATACACGTACGAGAGCGTGTCTTTGAGCAATGGTATGTATTTTATATATGAAATTATTCCTACTAGCACTGATTTCAAGTTTCTGAAAAATATTTCTTTAAAGGAAACGTCCCTAATGCACAATCATGATTTGTAATCTAAATAAATGGTTTCAATGTCTGTAGTGCAACAATCATACGTGTATATTTGATCATGTGTTATCAAGACTTGTGCACTCATCTTAAGTGGTTCGTATTGGTCTTTTTCTATTAATTGTTTTTTTAGATGACGGTTTACTGTCAATATCACAACAATCATCACATGACAAGAATGAGATGCACAATTTTGATACAGAAGATCGTATTCCTTTTTCTTCTATGGCACAAGCAGTATTGAATACAGTTTCATCAAAACAGGCGCTCTGTAACAAAACCGGCAGAAAAAAAGAATATAAGCAAAAAGAGAACAGTAATGTAAAAATACCAGAACCAGATGAATTTTGTAAGAAAAAAAAAGTAGATGTCGATAATTATATGCGTTTAGGTGCACAGTCATTGGAGAAAGTGGCACAAAGTGTTGAACACGTAATCTCACAAAAAACTAAACAGAAAGTAGATATTTTTGATAGCGATAATGTTGATAAAGACATACATGATATGTTAAAGTGTGCATATGTTGGTCTAAAACAAGTTAGATTCGATATGAGATTTAATTGTGTACTTGATATATTGAAAGTAATTAACAAATATAAAGAGCAAGAAATTCAGAATAATAATTAGAAACATTATTATTCTGTAATTATTGCTCATTACAACTTTATTACGATATGTGAAAATATCCGTCCTTTTTGTTTCTTTTATTTTATTGTTTTTCGAAAATATACCAGGTGTATAAATATGAAACCGGAATTTATCAATAGATGGCCATAACAGTCAATGTAGTTGCTGTCAGACGGCGCCATTACGCCATTTCCTTGTTCTCACATTTGGCAAAGATTTTTACACTCTCCACAATACAAGTTTCATACAAGAGTACCGTTTGTAATAGCGTTGAAAATGTCCAATTTTGTGCCTGGAAACTATGATTTGCGGACAGCATTGATTTTCTGTTACCATTTGAAGAAAACTGCTGCAGAATCGCATCGAATGCTTATCGAAGCTTATGGCGAGCATGCTCTTGGTAAATCACAGTGCTATGAGTGGTTTAAAAAATTCAAAAATGGCAATTTTGACGTGAGAAACGAAGAACGTGGAAGACCACCGAAAAAATTTGAAGACAGCGAATTGGAAGCATTGTTGGCCGAGGATGACGCTCAAACTCAACAACAACTCGCGGATCAATTAAATGTGACACAAGAAGCCGTTTCCATACGCTTGAAAGCCATGGGAAAGATCCAGAAGATAGGAAAATGGGTTCCACATGAGCTGAATGAAAGACAGCAGGAAAACCGGAAAACCACTTGCGAAATGCATCTCGCCAGGTACAGAAGAAAGTCATTTCTCCATCGAATTGTGANTGGCGATGAGAAGTGGATATATTTTGAGAATCCCAAGCGTAAAAGGTCANGGGTAGCTCCAGGAGAAGCAGCAACATCGACTATAAGGCCAAATCGCTATGGACGGAAGACAATGCTCTGTGTTTGGTGGGATCAGCAAGGTGTGATCTACTATGAGCTGCTAAAACCTGGCGAAACCGTTAACACCGAGCGCTACCGTCAACAAATGATCAATTTGAATCGAGCTTTGTCTGAAAAACGACCGGAATATCAAAGCAGGCAACGTAAAGTGATTTTTCTTCATAATAATGCGCCATCACACACAGCAAAACCGGTCAAGGAAACGATTGAGACGTTTGGTTGGGAAATACTTTCGCATGCGGCTTACTCACCAGACTTGGCTCCGTCCGATTATCACCTGTTTACATCGATGGGACACGCACTTGCTCAGCAGCGCTTCGCTTGTTACGAAAATGTGCGAAAATGGCTAGATGGCTGGTTTAGCTCAAAAGAGCAACAATTTTTTTGGCGTGGCATCCACAAATTGCCAAGCAAGTGGGAAAAATGTGTAACTAGCAACGGGCAATACTTCGAATAAAATATTTCTTATCATTTTTATGCAATAAACGTGTATTTTCTAAAAAAAATTCCGGTTTCATATTTATATACCTGGTATATTTCTGTTAAATAGTATTATGATAAAAACTATTATTTAAAAGTTTTATTTATTTTTGTGTGTATGTATGTGCATGTCACATATACGTACGTACTCTTCAATAGTACGTACGTACTATTGAAGTACGTATAGTACTTCAATAGTAATACACTAATTATGTTATTATAAATGTGATTTGTATTTGCACCAAAGATTTTTTTTATAATAACTATATATGGATATAATATTGCTGTTTAAAATGGTTTTAAACAAAAGCCAATCAGAATTCGCGCTGATAGCAAGCAGTACAAAGAAAATCAGAAAGTAGTAACTGTCGACTAACAGCACGAGTTTTGATTGCTTTTGTTATTTTGTAAAAATGTGACTTTTTCATTACAAAAAACATACATAAGTTCTTTTTCTTTTTTTTATTTTATTTTAATTGTATGTTATAATATTACAAAATAGAAAAAAATACTTACATATTTTTTTATAAATACTTCTATATGTACATGAAAAAAGAAACATGTTCTCATGTTATTGTATCGGATAAAGTTATGTTATAAAGAATGTTCCTTTACGAAAAATAAATGTCTGTAGTACCTATAAACATCTTTTATTTAAAGCAATAATTTTATTAGTTTTTTTGCCAACTCGTATATTTAATTACTAGAGTTTACTTTCCTGTTACAACTCGCAAATGTTACTTTGCGTTATGTATATTATTAATACATATACTTTACTTGTTAATATATATGTTTGTGTATTAAGATTTGAAATAAAAAACATTTATATATTTATACTTCATGAAGCATACCTTTATTATCTTATATATTATCTTAATATTGTTTACTAGCTTATTATCTTAATATTAAAACTGATACCAAAATGTAATTGATGGGGTAGAAATATACGAAAAACTTTTATATTATAATATTTTTTTGTGTTCATATTATGTATATAAAAACGAAAAATTATTCTATTCTTTGATAAGACTATTACAAAAATAATTTTTTGTATACAGTTTGTATATTTTACTAAAATGAACAACATAAACTCGCTTAAAAATACAGCATAATATATCATATTTGTACTGTATTTACGCTTATCTTTGTTTAATTTTTTGGAATGTGCCAAAAATGTAACAGTTACATTAAAGTTCTAATAATTGGAACATTTCGTAGTACATGATCATATTGCCACAAGATCTCTCCTTCTTGAGTAAGAAAATAATCTCTTAATTTATCTCTTTGAATAATNGCTGCTCGCGTAGGATTGTTTGCTCCAAGTCTACCAGCTCGTTCTAGTATACCATGTTGTGGCACTTGAGCTCTCCATTCTCCATTTAGCATTTCACCATCCGGTCCATATCCGTCAACAAGTCCGGGATTTTTATACAAACGTGTTGTAGGTAATATATCCTTTTCACTGTCCAGAAGAAAATTGTGCAGACAAATAAGAGCCATAACAATAGACTCAGCAGTTTCTACTTTACAGCAAATGCAAGTTTTTAAAATGTTCCACTTTGAAACAAGAATACCAAAGGCATTCTCNATTACTCTACGAGCTCTAGACAGTCTATAATTAAAAATTCTCTGTGGTATTGGAAGACTACGTACAGGGTGGTTCAAATATTCATTAATCCTTCCATTATTATTTTGTGTGTTTTCGTTTTCTACATCTTCATCATTATAATTAGTATTTGTTTCAAAGATTACTAGTAGTTGTGCTGCAAGAACTTGTGGCTGATGTCGAAATCTCTTTGGCTTTGCATAGGGCCGCATTAAATAAGTTTTGAGCGGGAAAGCTTCATCGCCTACAAAGGCAAATGGAAAAGGAGTATTTGTTCCTAATAATGGCTCTGGATGTGGCAAATCAATTAATCCTTGCTCCAAGCTAGAGCCGAAGTCACTGTTCAACCATACTCCACCGTCAGATATTGAACCTACATGCAAAAAAGTTTTATTTATAAAACTAGTTCGGTTAGTTACTAAAAATATCACTATTCAAATTAATATGCACCATAGTCACCAATGTCCACCCATTTGAAAACATAATCGGCATCACAGATTGCCATAAGAACAATTGAGAAAAATTTCTTATAGTTGAAGAACAGAGAGCCTGAGTTTTTTGGAGCCTGAATTTTTACATGTTTCCCATCAAGTGCCCCTATACAATTAGGGAAATTCCACTTTTCATAAAATCCATCAGCTATATTACGCCAATCCTGTCTTGTCATCGGTGGTAAATATATTGGCTGTAAAGCTTTTATAATTGCATCACATGTTTCAGGTATAATTTTATATACTGTTGAGCGACCAATGCGGAAAGACCACTTCTTTGCCCACACACTATCAGCGTAAGCGAGATATCTGAAATACATTAGAAAATAGTATTAGAATAAACTTTTTATACTGATCAAAAAATGACTGTTTATACAGATTTTACATGAATAATATAGACCGATATAATGTTATTGAATCAATAATACTAATACGCATCAATATTTTTACATTCTTACATAATACTGTTACGTCCTGACCTTTGGTAACGATCGGGTCCTTATGGAGTGACGCAACTGACACACGACACTTTTGTGTATTATATCCCGACACACTGACCTAATGAGATAAGTCAAGCATGCGGGTCGAGTGAGACTGTTCGGCGACGTAGTCAAGTCAACGGGCTACCGATATTACTTGTCTAACGTCTTCTCACTCGTCGGTCCCCTTTTTGGACTTAGAAATGAATCTAAATTTCCTGGGACGGGACCTGGCGATCGGGTAATGAGATTACAGGAATGAATTATCACGACAGGAGGAGGTCCAAGGTTTAATTAATTGAAACCATTTTTATTTTTGCAAGCGTATAAATCATTTTTATTTAACGGAGTAACATTTAAATTTTATCAAAAATATCCTTGCGCAAATACCAATAATAATGTGAGTCGGTGTGTGAGTATGCGTGAGTGTACATAGATACGATTACTATTTCTTATTTCCGTGTTTTTGTCATTAATATTATTATTAGTGTTGTTCTTTTTATTTTAATTCCTATTTAAATGAGCACCGTCGCTATTTAGACTATTATCGGATAGGAGAGGGTCGGTCCGCTCCGGTCGGTCGCTCGACGGGCAGTGGCTCTCCGTTGCAAAGTTTTATTTTCTTTGTGTGATGAAGTTTCAAACAACGATCCGCGAATTACGTTGCGGAGTTCCACTTCGACGAAAGCTTATTAATAATCGCACATGTTTAATTTAAATCACGGTTGATTTTCGGAACGGTACATCAGTGAAGTGAGTTGCCACTGCACAAAGGTTGATAAGAATGACTAAAGAAACAGATAGCAGTTCGATGTGACTGAATGTTGCGAATCGAATTGGCACAAAGGTAGGTCAGCAGCCGCTCAGAACGACAGAACGTCGCGAACGGCTAATCCGACTCAAAGGAAGATCGGCAGTCGTCCAGAACGACAGAACGTCGCGAACGGCAAATCCGACTCAAAGGAAGATCGGCAGTCGTCCAGAACGACAGAACGTCGCGAACGGCTAATCCGACACAAAGGAAGATCGGTAGTCGCTCAGAACGACCGAAGGTCGCGAACGGCTAATCCGACTCAAAGGAAGATCGGCAGTCGCTCAGAACGACCGAAGGTCGCGAACGGCTAATCCGACTAGGATACCGAGGAGAAGAACTGCAGTTACTAACTGAACATTTAACCTTTTGTTCCGAATATTAACCGTTCAAAGAAAAGGAACCTACGTGTACGCGTGGGAACTCCTGGATTTACTTTGAGATTATTATAATAATTATTATAATTAGCACTCACTACTTGTTGTCTGTAGTTGGATGTCGAGATGAGAGATCGACGCCTCGACCAAGAGTCAGGAATCAGTCGGCTAGGCTCAGGTGAAACGAGTTGGTTGTTTCTTCTGACGGATTCTCACAGAAGGAGCGTATATTCACTGAACTGACTCGAATTGAACTGACAAATTGAACTGGCTCTAAAGAGTTGACTTCACGAACAGAATCTTTAATTACTTGATCTTAACTGAGTAAAATGAATGTAAACGGAATGTACTTTTGAAATGCTTTAGAAGAAAGTTTTGAAGTAGTTTTTGAAGTGGTTTTGAAGTATTTTTGAAGTGACACGCTCCGTTGTTCTAGCGCTTTTTATATGATGATCTCGGGGCGTCAACCCTTCTGATTTTCGCCAATCATCATCAGATTTTTACTCTCCTACTCCTGATCGATTAAAATTTCGATCTCTCATTCGCCAATCCGACCAAGCGAGAGGACCAATCGTCGGCAGTCGTTCTATCTGACTCAACTAAAGTTTGTTTAAACTTATTATCTGCACGTGCAATATCCTGTTTATTTCAGCGCACAAAGCATTCCTTTCTAGAGATTAGAGGACCGTCTAAATTATCTAAGTTTACATGCGCGATTTATTCGCAAACAAAACATCCGGGCTGATTGTAGATTAATTGATCGGCGTCTCTTTGAAAGTTGACTAAATTGGTTTTGACTTGTTTATAAAATTCGCGATACGGATTTGTTTATCTGAATTCAATGGGTCCTTTATTCTCCGCTCGTCGATCGTTATCTAAAGCTAATTCTAAGGCGCAAATCTTAAAGTTAGTTTATATCTCGTTAGTTTATATTTCGTTGCAAATAGAAGGGGACCGTGGAGTCCAGGACGTAACAATACATATTTTTGACAATATTTGAACTTAGTTTTATGTACATTTTAGATCTTACACGGTCTATGATATTGTCAGTACCAACAAAAAAATACTGACAATAGTATTGATCTAAATTTCCTCATTCATGAGTATCAAGCATCTGTGGTAGAGGAGTTCGTTATGATAGGACATATTGATGCTCGAAAATTAAGAAATCCAAATCACTGTTAATATTCTCAACATCAATCTTATAGTTATTGATCATGTGATTAATACTACATGATCAATAACTAGTTATATAGTATTTCTTGATATTGACAATATTATTGATTGTGTGAAGTCCCCATTGTGTACTTGCCCTAAAGTGACAGCCAGTCTCAATTCTGGTGGAAATGGACGTCTTCTGCTACGTTTCAACAAATAAGGCTTTGTTTTTTCCACAAGCCAATCAAACTGATCAGGCGTCATTCTTGTATAATGGTAGAATTCTTCGTGATCAGTGTTCTTGAGTTCTTGGAATAACTGTGAAAAGTCTCCAAGTTGAAGAAACGTATTATTAACTGGTCGACGCCACCACCTAGAAAAAATGAACAAATTGTAATGCTCTTACAGTAAGAAGCACAAAATGAACAACAATGATACATAGAACAACAAAATTCGACAGTAATTAGATGTACTAACCTCCTTCCTTGTCTCTGTCTTAATGCGCCAAATACCATTAAACTAAATTTGTACTACGCATGCATTAACAATAAAATCAGCATCAAATCTTCTTCTTCCATTCTCTACATTTTTTAAGAACAAATGCAAAACTTAATTATAAATAAACAAGAACAAAGAAGATATAAAATCGCAGAGAAAATCATAGAGAAAAAGTCTCGTATATCGTATCTGAAATAATCAGATTAAACTATACTTTAAAATACATAACAAACTTATTAATAAAAAGATAAAAAAATACGCAATAAACATTTCAAAATATGTACACTAATAAAAAAATAAGTATGAACATAGACTTTGTGAAAATAGTGTTGTTTGCCCTGAATTGCCATCCTTCTCCTGATTGGCTGAAATGTGATGATGCGACGATGCGATACGGCTTATTGTGGACGCAAATTTCTTAAGATTTAAGACTTATAATTCTGATTTATCACTAGTGTCATATGAGTAGTGACTTATATCTTATTGTTGAAGGCCCATAACACTTACGACTTACAGCTTACGATTGTATTGTAGAACAGGACTTAGCGACGTCGCTGCCATTCGAAGTTTGTTCGCGTCGTCATCATATGGGCCTTCTACAATAAGATATAAGTAATAAATCAGAAATCAGAAGTAAGAAATTGACCAATCACAGACAAATTACAGAAGAATAATCGATTGTCGTAATCGATATACATAATCGATTACTCAAATATTACAACGCCTTAAGAGGTCGCTGTCAGTAGCGTACGCTCGAGTATTTCTTACAATATTTATGGCACTGGAATGTGGTTTATTGTCTTTATTTCTGCTCCACACTGGCATCTCGGTTTTGCAACATAGTTTTTTCTTGCTAGTGATTCGCCTGCGTTATAGTGATTTGCTCACAGCTTGGTGTAACAAGTATATAAACGTACAAGTTGCATCAGCCGTACCGGTTAGATGTGCGTAGTTACGCTTAGATATTTTTGGACAATCTTCGGTGTTTTTACACCGATTTCTTCAGTTTATCAGTATTTTTAACGAACGTACAACTCCGTGGCTTGTACCCAAACCACGGTTTAGNACCTGTNTCACGATTNNTAAAGACTTAGAATGGCGTATGGACTAGCTTGAAACGGTCCTTTGAGCCATATATGCACCAAACCAAGTATATAAACGTAACAAGTTCTCGTCTGACATTCCTGTTTGCAAACCATGGTAAGATTTCTCCTCTAATAAAGAATTCATTAAAATATTTTTGACCTTTTATTTCAGCCTCCTTGATTATTTCCTCTTTCTTTCGTAATTTCTTTATTATTTCTTCTTTGATGTCAGTATATGGTATTTTATACTTTTGAGAGTTAGCTTGTATATTTATAAGGTTAGATTAGGTTAGATTAGGTTTATTTTATTGACACATGTATTTACAATTGTAGAATGAGGAGGATTTGCCGTACGAAGAGGAGATCTTACGAAATCCATACTCGGTAAAGCATTGGCAACGTTATATTGATCATCTTAAAAATACAAAAAGTAAAAATTTAAATATGGTATATGAACGGGCATTGAAGGAGCTACCAGGCAGGTAAAGACATATTAGAATTATACGTTTATCTTATTATAATTATTTAAACGTTTTACGTCAAACTGAGAATCTCATATGTGTTATTTTGTATGATTGATGCAGTTATAAATTGTGGTATAATTATCTTCGACAACGAGTGGATCAGTTGAAAGGTCGGTGTATAACAGATCCGTTATACGAAGATGTCAACAATGCCTATGAACGTGCTTTGGTATTTATGCATAAAATGCCACGATTATGGATGGATTACTGTACACTAATGACTGAACAATGCTATATAACTCGAACGCGTCAAGTGTTTGATCGTTCTCTTAGAGCACTACCTATAACACAACATCATCGCATATGGCCATTGTATATTGAGTTTTTGAAAAAACACAATGTCTATGAAACTGCTGTCAGAGTATTCAGGAGATATCTAAAGGTATACTAAATCATTCATTCAAAGATTAACACAATTATTTTCTCTAATAAACTAAGTTTCTATTTATTTAGTTGGCACCGGAAGATACAGAAGAATACATAGAATATTTGATATCAATTGAAAGACTTGACAAGGCTGCGGTGAAACTAGCACAAATTGTCAACCAAGATGATTTTGTGTCTAAACATGGAAAGTCTAATCATCAACTGTGGAATGAATTGTGCGATTTAATATCGAAAAATCCTTCCAAAATAAAATCTTTGAATGTAGATGCTATTATCAGAGGTGGTTTAAAACGTTACACAGATCAGTTGGGACCTTTATGGAATTCCCTGGCTGATTATTATGTTCGAAGTGGTCTTTTTGAAAGGGTATTGTTTTGTATTTATAATAAATTTACACTTATATATTTTGTTTTAATTATTAGAATGTATATGTATATATAATCTTACTTAATAGGCAAGAGATATATATGAAGAAGCTATACAAACTGTTACTACTGTCAGAGATTTCACACAAGTTTTTGATGCTTATGCGTAATTTGAGGAACTTAGTCTTAAAAAGCTCATAGAAGAATCAGCAAATAATCCTACTGAAGAAGGTACGTCGATGTACGTTGTTAATTTGACAGTTTGTTATTAATTTAACTATAACTTAATTGCATTTGTTTATTAGACGATATAAAATTGGAATTAAGATTAGCGCGACTTGAACATCTAATGGAAAGGAGACTGTTGTTACTGAACTCTGTATTATTGCGACAAAATCCACACAATGTAGCAGAATGGCATAAAAGAGTGAAACTTTATGAAGGACAACCACATGAGGTGATAAAATATATATTTTTGCATCTTAACAGATGTTACATTGCATATGTGCTTTTGCTGATTAATTAATATATTTTTTTTACAGATAATTAATACATATACAGAAGCAGTGCAAACTGTGCAGCCACAGTTAGCAGTTGGTAAATTGCACACACTGTGGGTCGCATTTGGCAAGTTTTATGAAGAAAATGGCCAAATAGAAGATGCTAGAGTGGTGTTTGAAAAAGCAACTCATGTTCCTTACACCAAAGTAGATGATCTCGCTTCAGTGTGGTGTGAATGGGCAGAAATGGAGATTAGACATGGGTAAGGTTTTGGTTTGTCTTCAATATTACGTCTATACATATTTTGTGCAATCACAAATAATTAAATATTATGATTCTATACAGAAATTGCAAGGAAGCTCTAAAACTAATGCATCGTGCCACTACAATGCCAGCTAGAAAAGTAGCGTATTATGATGAAACGGAAACAGTCCAACTGAGATTGTACAAGTCTCTAAAAGTATGGTCTATGTATGCGGACTTGGAGGAAAGCTTTGGAACATTTAAGGTATGTGACTAATATTTTCAGTTGATACGACTTACATATATAAATGTTTTCAATTTCTAATGTTGTTTTATTGCAACAGACTTGTAAAGCTGTATACGACAAAATAATTAACTTGAAAATTGCCACTCCGCAAATTATCATAAATTATGGCTTATTTCTAGAAGAAAACAACTATTTTGAAGAAGCATTCAGGGTATGTTAAATAATTTTCATTAATTACATATGTGCGTGCTCATATATATAATATTATTTGTATAGAGCATCTTTTTTCAATAGTATTTTACATTTTAATGTTTAGGCTTATGAAAAAGGCATTGCATTATTTAAATGGCCAAACGTTTATGACATTTGGAACACATATCTTACCAAATTTTTAAAACGTTACGGCGGCACAAAACTAGAACGTACCAGAGATCTCTTCGAACAATGTCTGGAACATTGTCCACCAAAATATGCCAAAGGTATGATTTTATATGTTAGATTAATGTTGTATAACAAAAAAGAGAAAAACAAATAACTATAAATATATATATTTTTATAGCTTTATATTTGTTGTACGCAAAACTAGAAGAAGAACACGGTCTAGCAAGACATGCTATGTCTGTGTACGAACGAGCGACAAATGCTGTCCTTCCGGAAGAGAAATTTGATGTAACTTTACATTACATACTACGTGTTTATATAAGCGTGATAATAGAATGCAAAACTAAATTTTTTAATTTTCAGATGTTTAACATATACATTAAAAAAGCTGCGGATATATATGGAGTTCCAAAAACTCGACAGATCTATGAAATGGCCATAGAGGTACTTAATGATGAAAACACCAGAGAAATGTGTTTGCGGTTTGCAGAGATGGAGACCAAATTAGGGGAGATTGACAGAGCAAGAGTAATATACACTCATTGTAGTCAAATATGCGACCCGAGGGTATGTTTTATAATTTTATATAGTACTTTTTAGCACTGTCATCGTACAAATTCACTGTTAAATCATATTAAATTGGAATTAATGCAGGTTACATCAAATTTCTGGCAAGTTTGGAAAGAATTTGAAATTAGACATGGAAACGAGGACACAATGCGCGAGATGCTTCGCATAAAACGTAGCGTGCAGGCTATGTATAACACTCAAGTGAACATGATGTCTGCACAAATGTTGAATAATGCATCTAATCAAGTATCAGATGTTCCGATGGACGCTATGCGTTTATTGGATAGTAAAATTACATCGAATACAGGTAATGAAATAGATATCACTGTTTTTTTTTTTTTTTTTTTTTAACAAATAATTTAACAAATCTCAAATTGTACAGACACTCAAACCGAACCCAAGAAAGCTATTACGAGAGATGCTACCGATCTCACGGGAGGTATTAAATTCGTACGTGGAGGAATAGAAAAAGATGGTAAACCAGAATCTCACGTGAATAATCCGGATGAGATTAATATTGATATGGACGATGACGATACTGAAAATGACGAAGCCGAAATTGAAGAAGGTATGATAATGTATATTTTACACACACAGCAAATGAAAACAAACTTAGGCAAATTAAACGAACTTACATTTTCTTATTATAACAAAGTATTGAAATATTAGATGTATTTGTTTAACAAATATGTTATTTAATTTTAGACATACCTATCGAAAAACAAGCTATACCATCGCAAGTATTTGGCAGTTTGAAAACAACCGAAGCTGAAGATGATGATTAATACCAGAGAGAAGCCTGAGAGCGGCCAGGCCCATAAGAGTTTTTGGGTACCATTATTCCGGCCCGTAAGCTAGCGCATGTCCATGGGTGGTGCACATTGGCAACTACGTAGCGATGTCCACGAGCGAGTTGTCGATACGTATGCTATGTCCACGCGTGGACATGGTTTTATTCCGTGCTATGTGCGGTGGACATGGTTTTATTCCGTGCTATGTGCGGTGGACATGGTTCTATTTCGTGCTAAGTGCGGTGGACATGGTTCTATTTCGTGCTATGTACACGTCGGTATACAAGTCGGTACAGACTTGTCGCGTATGATAACGCGAAATGCTTTCTCAAGATATACAGGGCCGGTTGTTCCACCTTCAGATAAAATATCGGACAGTTTATCTAATAATTAAAACTCTGATTTGCGTTGTTCTACGTGTCAAACGCAGCTTTGCAATTGCTAAAATACGTTCTGGAAGTGATTATTGAGATATTTTAGCAACCGCGAGGCTGTGTACGACACGTAGAACAACGCAAATCAGAGTTTTAATTATTAGATAAACTGTCACACATCCCCTGATTTTCCCCGAGCACGCGATACAACAACCAGCGGAAGGCGTGAACCAGAAAATGATGAATGCCTTTCGTGAGATGGCTTTACATATCTCACAACTAACGTTCATATACATATATATAATATATATTTGTTATTTTAAACTTCAAACTCTTTGTTTTTTAAATAATTCAATGGATTTATTTTTGTTATAGATATATTATTAAGATATATTTGCAGCTTTGATTAGCTACAAAATTTTGTAAAGAACCGAAAATAAACGAGGTTTATAAAAAAAATCTCAAATTATACATATATGTAAATTGTATTTCAATTAATACGTTGACTCTTTCTTGGATTTGAAAACAATTTTCTTTCAGATTTATTCTGTTTCATTTAACACAAAAGAAATTATTGGAAGAATTTTATTTACTATATATAAAACACATATCGCACACAAAAAATAAACACGCTTTACTACATTAATAATATATTTAATATGTTCATAGAAATAATACAAAACAAAACTGATTTCAATCGACACATATAAGTGTAACACGAGACAATTGATATTATATATACTGCTTAAATGTAGAAAATTTCTATATAAATTCTTAACACACACATAGAGTGATGTTTATTTAGAAAGAGATGAAAATTTAATTAGTATCATTTGTATAATAATGTATATGACGACAGAAATGCATAATTTTACGTACAATCAGATGTTAAATATGTGTTGTATTATGAAAGGATGAAGATTAACTAGTTTCAGTGTATTGTGTATTCATGTTTACATACTGTCAGCAATTCACCATACATATAACATTAATTACTCAATCAAATTTTCCTCTTTCTTTCACATATTCAGCTCGCAAAATACACAATCATTCTTATTATTTGTGAATGTTTCTGACATTCTCTTTGATGTTTTAATCACTGTAATGTTCAATATTACGGAAAAATAAATACTTCTTTTTTTCATTGTTCTAGACTGTCTTTTTACAGATATTTTCCTACTATCTACAGTATATATATAAATCTTGATAAACATTTTCTTCAAATTCTATATCAGTAAAAAGAATTTTCAGATTAATCTAAATCTGACCAGTAATAAAGGAATAATTAGTTTTTTATTGTTAAACTTTGTATTCACAGATTTTAACTATCTGTTAGAATTCCAAATATATTAAATAACACAACATACAAAAAAATAATGAAGATAAAATTCATTTATATTTGTAAAATAAGTGAAATTTAGACATACATTTATTCATTTTTAATTTAAAGTTATATGTAAAGAAACATGAGATTTATTAGGTACATATGTATAAAAAATTAACTCAGTCTTGTATACACATAATATTTATTATATCAAAAAGAAATATACGACAACGCTTAAGGTAGATATCACACATATACACATACAGCAAGCAACGAGGCAGATAGTGTATTATTTTAGTGTATTTGTACTTTATGTCAATTTGTGCCCATAATTGTATAGGTCTCTATTTCTTTAAAGAAAGTTGCTAAAAATAAATTATTGCTTCAAATGAGCATAAATCCATAACAGGATCCGATACAGAAAGACTAGGCAATTGTGTGCCATTTGCTGTACTCCATAATGATATATTGCTGCTTGATTCTGCATATGCTGCAACTAATGTATCATTTTCCGTATACAAGTAACATGGACGAGATAAAAGCTGTTGAGCTTCTCTTCTAATCTCTTCTAAAAAAGAAAAAACAATTTATTACAGCTTTCATATCGATGGAAATGTAATCATAGAAAATACCAACTTTCCAATAACTTGTCAACACTTTCTATTAAATATTTTATCATTTTAAATTGTATACAATGTTTAGCTTAAAAAATAAAGATATCGTTTGTGGAGTTAATAAGCAAATGTAGACGAGAACAATGAAGGAAAAGATTATGTTTAAATGTGTGAACACTTTTTACTGACTATATTCATTATTAGTTTGAAAATCTTTATATAAGCGAAAAACTATGCAGCATATAACTAGTGAAATTTTTAATTAAATTATCGATTGTTCGCGAACTTAACGTAAGCGATAATAAATATTCTATTGAAAATTAGAAAATTATAGAAATACATTTTATAATGTATGTGTGCGCTGCCGTACTTCAGTAAAAAAGTAATACAATTCCTCTTTATCAAGAGATAATAATCTAAGTCTAAACGCGTTTTTTTATTTATTTTAAATATTAAAAACCCGAGAGTTGCTTAAATTGAAATCTAAAACAATTTTTGCACAAGATTTGAACATGTTATCCTATCCAGTCAAATTTTATACAATTATGCTTTTATTCCTACCTTTTCTAAAAAAAATTTGTTTCTTAAACAGCTTTTATTTCACAGTTCCTTTTCGTTTTGGAGAAAATGTGGACAAATCTTGTTTGCCAAGTCCAGTTTCTAAAACAATTTTAAATACGTGAAAATAGAGCTCCAAATATATTAAATCAACAATTGTCAAAAATTAATGTTTTATTATTATATATATATATGTGTACATGTTTCATAATATTTTACCATTTACTATGACAGCAACATCATCGGCATCCAATGTCTCATATTGCAATAACGCTTCTGCTAACTGTTTATGTTCCTTCATGTGTGTCTTTTTAATCGTCTTTGCACGTTCGTATGAGTCCTTAAAAATATAAATAATAAATTAACACAAGAAGAAAAAAGTTATAATCAATAAACTCTTATTGTTTCAAAACATTAAGGATAATTAATATATGTATATATACAATTATCAAATAAATTTTTTTGGTAAAAATTGATTCGTTTGTAAACAAAACGTTAAACTTACCTGCAAGAGCTTCTTTACTTCATTGTCGATGATTTCGTTCGTGCTCAGCGCACACACGTTGTTGTTCGTGAAAAACTTCTTATTTTCAACTATTGATCTCAATCCTATTTTGTTTGACATCCCGTAACTCTTAACCATAATCTCGGCTATCTGTGTCGCTTGCTGCAAGGAAATGTTAAACAAAAAACTTTTAAACTGTTGATAACATTTAACCAAAGTTGTACATAGAACAATATGTAATAAAATATGTAGAAGTACTAGGTACGATATTAAACATAGTCATACTAGTAAATCAGAAGAAGCTTTCGTCGTTACTTTTTCCGACCCAAATATTAACTCTTCTGCAGTTCTCCAACTCATCATAGAGTCCATAGTAGTTAACAATTGTGACTTTGTAGTGTGATAAACGTTCTTTTCATGCATATTGCAAGTCTGAAATAAAAGAAATGTAATTATTTAAATATATTAGAAATCAAACAAGAAAGTAATTACAATTTAAGTTTATTGATTGATCTTTTATATATAATTAATAAGTATTTATATACATACATGACCTACTGATGGTCCTCGTGGCACAATGGTGACTTTATGAAGAGGAGTAACATCCTTTGTATAAAATACTACCAGCGCATGTCCCGCTTCGTGATACGCTGTAATACGATTCACTTCCTCATCTTGTAACTTGAGCTTGCCTTCAGGAGCCATCAGCACCTTGTTTCTAGTATACTCCAAGTGCTTCATAGTGATGCAGTCTGCCTCATTAATTGCTGCATGTGACGCTGCTTGCTTTACCTTAAATAATATTTATTACAGCGAAATAAATTTACACTGTTTTTTAAACATCGAAAACAAATGTAAAATTTATAAATTATATTATTTATAAAACATATTAAATATTTACATATGTAATATGTAATATGTATAATATAAAATTGAACGCAACGATGTGACTAACTACTTTGCGTACGTGATAAATTAAGAAAAAGAGAGAGAGACGGGAAGAGAGGGGGAGAGAGAGAGAGAGAGAGAGAGAGAGAGAGAGAGAGAGAGAGAGAGAGAGAGAGAGAGAGAGAGAGAGAGAGAGAGAGAGACTACGTAAAATTCTACATGCAGATAAAGTCACATCGCTATACATATTTAACAAAGTAGCGGCTTTGTAATATTACTTACCAGAACTCATTCCCCAAAAGAAAGCCGTATTTCCAAAAGAATGTATTTTCCACAAAATTCCAAAAAACACGCACGAGGAGTTCACAAATAAACAAACATCGGTGTCGCGCACGTTACTGTGTCGGCCGTTCGAGTTCGGTGTTCTAAGAAAACTGCCGAGTTTACAGTTGCGCAAAACAAGATCTCGGAAAGTAGACAAAATGAAAAAAAACAACATCGGTGTCGCGCGTTATTACTTTTTCGTTTTGGCCGTTTCGATAATCGGTGTCCGACATCCACCGACATCCGAAGAAGACTGACGAGTTGACAGTTGCGCAAGATAAGATCTCGGAAAGTGGACAAAATGAAAAAAAAGAAATAACATCGGTGTCGCGCGTTATCACTTTGTCGTTTTGGCCGTTTCGATAATCAGTTTAACCGACATCCACCGACATCCGAAGAAGACTGCCGAGAATACTGAGTCGGCGATTGGTGAGAGGTCGGGCCGGCCAGCACCGAGAGCGCCGAAGTGGTGGGAGTACGCACACGAGCGAGAACTGCTGCCTGTGTGCGCTCGTGGATGATATGTTGTCGTGCAGCATGATATGTTCCGTCTTCTTTCTACCAAGTTGGCTATAAAGCAAGACACGAGGCACGAGATAACGTTGCGCGCTTGTTGCGTTTGATACCGTGAAATGCTTCCTCAAGATTTTTATAGTCTTGGAAAAAATACATAATATTATTAATAATATTATACATCAAGATGCATTACATAGTTTTATTAATTTATAAGTTAACTGTCATAAAAAACATGTTCAAAGTTTTAGAATATTTAACAACATTTAATATATATGTATATATATACATGTTTTTTTATATTGTAAAAAGTGTAAATTATTACTGTCAACTCATACTTATAATTAATAAAAACATATGTAACGCAAATTGTGAAGTTTTCATATTATCAAAAAGTTTATGTATGTTCCAAGACTTTAGATTGCTGTAAAAGATTAAAATATATTATATATTATTCATTAGTATTTGACTATGCGTAAAATGCGTTTCCTAATTATTTCACTGCATCCGTAGACGCAGAATACATTTGTCGTTTATTGTACTACGCCAGTCTTAAAATGCATTTTTTTATTATTTTGCTGCATCGCAGACGCAGAACGCATTTCTTAATTTGATTGCATTAACCATATGATTCATTTGTTTTATCACTTCACCGCATTAGATGAAGAATGCATTTTTTAAATATTGCACAGCGCCAATCTTGCTATGTATTTTTTCTATAATTTCACAACATTAGACGCAGAATGCATTTTTTAATTATTGTACTGCGCCAGTCTTAAAAAAAATTTTCTTTAATATTTCACTACATTAGACGCAGAATACAACTTTCAATTATTGCACTGCGCCATTGTCTTTAAATGCAATTTTTTTTTTTATTGTACCGCATTAGACGCAGATTGTATTGTTTGTTGATTGCGTTAGGCATTTTTTTAAATTATTTAATCGTATGAGATTAAATGTATGAATAATTTTACTAACAGATAACAATTGTTTTATTCACTGAGAAATATAAATCCGGTTATAAAAGCCGTTCGCAAGATGTACGGAAATACGCGTGTATATATGTATTGTGACGTGGTGGTCGCGCCGCTCTCCCCCTTGCCACAAAAAGGGTATCGTTCAAGGGAGTCCCGAGGAGCGGGCCGGTCTCAAGCGCCAGGATCCTCCAGGGCTTACGCGCCGTATCTTATTTTAGTTGCTTATTTCTTTTGTTTGTATTCTTTTTTTATATCAAATGTAAAATTGGCGCCTCACCCCCCGAGGACTCACCCCGCCGAAGGACATCGAGGGAGAGGAGTAGACGGAAAATCTAGCGAGGAACATAGCGCGA